TATAATGTTAAATTATTAAAAAATAAATTATAAAATAATGGTTACAAAGACTGGCAGATAAAGAAATTTTTTAAATCTGTGCCTTAGTAAATATGTTATGATGTTATTATAGTAATGAAAGATATGATATAACAGATTTTTTTTATTGGAAGAACGTTTCTTCCATCTTAGCTATCCAACTGAAAAAAATTATCTAAACGTTTAAAAACAAGTTGTTTTCAATTTTTAAATTAATATTTTGGATTTTTTTAATATGGATTTTAAAAACCTGTCTACTTGTACCTGATGATGACAAAACCTTGTCGAAACGTTGTACATTTGCTGTTATATTAAAGTTTTTCTTCATTACCCATTCAAGCCGTCTCCAGCCATTATTAGTCTCAAAGTGGGTTCCTCGTCATCGAAAATGTAAGCGTAGTTTTACTATAAGCCTAAATAATTGCTTGAATATGCAAAAACATTGTTGAAAAGTAAATAAATATATAAACAAACATAAAACAGATTTAAAGCATATTACATACATTAAGTAAATCCTTCTGATTTATAATTTAAAAAAATTTAGTTCACTTTTAAATTTTATATGGTAAAAAATAATTTTTATTGTATGCCAGTGATCATAAAACTGCATGAAGAGTTTTTCAAGTCAAAACAAAGATAAAATTTAGTTTTATAAAGTTTTCCAAAAAATGTATGAAAACATAGAAATCAGTAATTAAAACATACAACAAAGGTAAGCATGTTTAATTTTTCATAAAATAAACATACATCACAATGAAACCTTTTCAAATTTTTAAAGCTGTGAATTCATACACATTCATATATATGCAGAAAGTTCATCTGATGTTTTAAACTATTTCAGCCAGTACCTTTTTTTTTTGCAATTCAATAAAAGAAACTATACAACATATGCATCGAATCTTGGCACAAAGGAGCTAAATGTGACAAAACTGCTTATACATTAGTACATAAAAATTAATAATTATAATTTCAAAAACTAAATACACATGTGAAAGCACAAAATTACTTAACAAATAAAGTAAGGCTTGAACTAGTAGCCAAAAAAATTCACATTAATTATAAGATTCATCAACACTTTAAATAGTCTAAATCACTTCTGCTACCTAATAAATCTCTTGAGAATTGAAAAACTTTAAGTTCAAATTATCAATGACAATTTTCAGATGCCTACAATATACCTTAAGTCTTATTTCCAATTTGAATTTCATAAATACTTAAGTAGAAAGACCTTGAAGTGAAATTCAAACATAAAATTTTGCTGAAGGGTTGAAAGAAAGTTCCAACGTTTCAAATCTACGTATTCTTTTGCATTCATTCCCCCACTAAAAGTTTCATACGAGCTTTGGTCTTATGTTAAGCTTACTAATAAATACTTTTGTAATTATTTACATTACTAGCCACATATAGTTTAGACCTTTAATTAGTACAATTGCCATGTCATTGCATTTGTTGACTTGCATTCAAAATTTTATTGAACTAATATTTGATAAATGTATGTCAATAAGTTTGATATCAAATTGTATATAATTCAAATTTTAGTATTATACATTAGTTAATTTCTTAATTTGAAATTAAATATAAAAAACACACCTTAAATATCGGTATTTGTGTGTCACGTGGTACGTTGAATGCAGAATTGGTTCAAATTAGATGTTTGCGATGTCCAAATACAAAATTTATAGTGTGCTACAATTTAAATACTCAATTTACTGATAATGATAAGCTAGAATGTAAAATAAGATCCTCCTATCTTTTCTATTTTCTGAGATTTTAATATATTTATTGAATCAACCACAGTGGCCCTGCCCACCTCTTCAGTTTTTGAAATACCTGCTTACGTACACCTAATTCACCCAATGACATGTGTATAACCAATCAAAAGCTCAGAATGTCCCCCTAGTGTTTTCTCAGCCTCTAGGAAGTACATGTGCAGCAAACTCTTTCTTTTCATGCTAGATTCCAAGCAGTAAGGTAAGACATTAGTGAGCTCGACATTTCATATTCTTTTAGACCCAAATACAGCTTAGTTACTAAGCTTGACAAATTATAGTGAAATTCTGTGGTATTGATATTAGTAATTTATGATTTTTGGTTATTTAAAAATGTATATATATATAAAACGTAAAAAAATATTTTGTTTCACATCCTCCACATTAGAATTTTGATAAGGCTTAGCAACCTAAAGCAAGCAGAAAACAAGTACAAAGTTCAAAACTAATTGTTTGCTACACTTCTTTATTTACTGTTCTATGTTTTAAGTACAATAAGTTTAAGAACTTGTTTGTAAATAGTAATAATGTATATACATATATAATGTATTATAACCAAAATGTGACTCTATTTTACAAAATGCTAGTTCTCTAAACCACAGCCAAGACAGGTCACTTAGTAAAGGCCAGTTTTATATTCTTGGATACGGTAACATGAGTGCACATACACTACATTATTGCAACTTCTGTTATGCTAGCCAGGCATGGCTGAAAGGTTAATATAATAAAGAAATTAATATATATATATATATGTATAATGTTATGAAATTTAAGCTATTTAGACTAAACATTTGTGTTTCATGTTATAATTTGTAGTCATTCTAGAATGAAAAAAGCATAACTTATATTTATTTCCTAATTTTTTATGGTGATTACGAGGTCGGTGCAATCGATCCAACCCGTACAGAGATACAGCAGTGAAAATAACAGATCAAATATAAAATTTTTTCCAGAAAATGTTTGATAATTATCTGAATGTTATAAAGATTTCACATGTGAAATTAAAAATTTTTCTGATACATAAAAATATATTTAATCTTAAAACCAAAATTACTTTGCATGTTGGATAGTCAACATTCAGAAAGAAAAAAGGCACGAGAAAAACATTACTTAAGAAATCTTAAAACTTAATAAAAAAAATCTGATATTTTGTGTACAAAAGCCTTGTAATGTTTACTGATAATATGCACAATTTCATAAAGATACACTTACTAATTTAAAAGTTATAACATGAAAACTATAACAAGCACAAAATGTTTATAAGCTCGGTCCCTGGAACCGAGCCTGTGCTGAGAGAGTTAATTTATTATCAAAAAAGGTTTACTGCTCTAACCAAAGGTATGGATCTTTTTTTTTTATTATATACACTATAAATTGTTTGAAAAATGCAAAAATTATTTTAAAAACTGTAGGAGAGACAAAAAAGAAAAAGACTGGCTGAAAGTTTGGCTTTATACATACAACTTTTCTGTAGTTTTTTTTTCAATATTTTTTCTTTTAGATTTCATCAAACTTTAACTGCATAACAGAACTAAAGAAAGAAGCCTCCTATAAATTTACTGAGTACTATTTAAAATTATAAAAACAAAAATTGATTAAGAGTTATTTAAAATCATAATAAACATAACCAATAAACAAGATGTGTTTTTCTTCTGTTTTCCAAAACTTAAACCCAAAGTACTGATTCATCAACAGTGGCAAAAAAAAAAGAGTTGAAAACAATTTTAAAAAATACTCTAATATCAAATATTAGGCTATGATAAATTACCTGAAAATTGCAGAGATCCTGTCTAACCATGGAGTGGGATCAAATTTTGCTGTTTTATCTTGTGGATCTTGTTGAAGCACCTTTAATAAGACATCTTAATCCTAAATACTTATAGTCAAAACATTTCTAAAAAAAATCATGATAAGAATGATTAAGTAATAAAATGTGAAGCTTTTATTAAAGTTTAATTACAAAATTTTTCTGAAATGTGCTTTTTTTTTTAATGTGCTTAAAGTCCAAAAAAATTTAGCAGGCTTGAAATCATGAAATGCAACAAGTATATTCTCTTGATAATACTATACATCAAATGTCTCTTTGATTACTTGAAACACATATACACCTGGAACAAAGTTAAGCACCCCCGTGTTTTTTTCAAGTGATTCAGATTCGACGTTCTTGTGACT